TGTTGCATTCAAGTTTGAACCAACTAGCTCGCTGATTCTCTCAACAACCAAATCTGATTGGAGCTTGTTGGTTTGACAAGATGACAATCATCTCCCACCAAAATGGCGCCCCAAATCAGCCCTTGGAGATCTCCATAGATCTTCTCTTGATACAAGAGATTTGTTCCAACAAGATCTCATCTTATCCTTTTGTTATGAAACAACTTTTCATAGCCAATTCAAATTCGAATTCAAACATTTAAATTCAAACGTTCAAACATTTAAATTCTAAATTCAAATTGAAATTCAAATTTCAAATTTCAAAATTCAAATTCAAAATTCAAAATTCAAAATTCAAAATTCAAATTTCAAATTTAAAATTCAAATTCAAATTTCAAAATTCAAAATTCAAATTCAAAATTCAAAATTTAAATATTTGATAATTAATTTAACTAATTAAATTAATTAATAATGTCTTGGGTCATCCAAGCCCATTAACAATACCATGCGCCCTCTCCCTCTTAGGTGGGCTTCCAAACTTCATCACTGGCTAACAACCATTATTAGGCCCAATACCTTTAATGCTATAACATCATGACATTCAGGTGTTAGTGTGTGACCCATTAGGTCCAACATAGCCACTGACATAAATGGGCTCGGGCCCAACAAGCCCACAACCCATTTAATGACAACACAGAGCACTAGCAATGCTTTGTTGCCCCAGAGCTAGTTAGATTAATGACTTGATCATCCTATTACACATATTTGGTTGCCGTATGTATTTGTTTTCGTCTCGGTTACCTTCCCATAAAACCTAGGATAAGGAAGCGTATCAACCCTTGCGGTGTAGGGTAAGCTTTATTCGAAATAGGGAATCTTCAATTTACTGACTCTAAAGGTAGATAATCTCATGATCTCTTTTACTATGCATAGATTCCCGAGTCCCTGTAAATGTCATCCCGGTTTCTCCGGTTTACAGATAACCTAATCTCTCACAGAGATTTGACGAATTCTTTTAGCTTATCACCCTAGCCCTGTGCTCTTTCAGGACAAGCCCAACAGTATACCTATGAGTCTCCATGTTTCAGGCAGACGAGGTATACAGTCAAAGCGTGCCTTCTAGAATATAGTCTAGGTAATAACTTCTGGTCTAAGGAAAGACATACCCAAATATAAAGAGACTACTCTAATGATACTCTTTGTGAGATTTCCTCATTGAGTCTCTTTGTGGGTTTGTTCAGTGCGAGCTATACCCTTATAGGTCCACCCACGACTTTAGCTAAGACATCTCCATATCTGTAGCAGATGAGGTCTTTACCTTGTATCCAAATACAAGTAGATAAGTCGTGCTAGTCTTACCCGAAATCACTGATCCCCATTCCCAGTGTCTCTAGACTAGGAACATAAAATTAGGAATAAACTTGCGGTATCCTTGAATCCTCATGATCGTGATCTCATCACAGATACTCAAGAGATACATGTTCTATTCCAAGGGGTTTATCCAGTTACTCATATAAAATATTAACAATAATATTGAGACAAAATATGAAACAAGATAAAGAGTGCTTTTATTTATTTGCGACAATATAAAAGGTCCACATATGTCCTAATCTAATTAAAAGATTGTCTCTAGGACATCCATATACTAACACGGAGTACAACAGACTGTTACAAAAATCACCCTTTGTAATTTCATTAAGAAGTATAAGATTGGCCTTGTTGCCATTCTTGAACCTGTAATTAGTGGAAACATGGCTTTGAAGAAAATAAAACTGCTTAGCTTCAAGAATTTCTTGGTTGAGGAATCTGTTGGCTTTGCTGGAGGCATCTGGGTTATATGGAAAGAGGAGTGATGTTCTATCTCCTTAGTTGAAAAAAGTAACCAATTTATTCATTATTCTTGTTCCTTTTCCTTTGGTGAGAGCTTCCTCTTTACTATTATTTATGCAAATCCTAAAGAAGAAGCTCGAGATATTCTTTGGACTGATCTTATTAGAATCAGTAACACTGTGAATGGGCCTTAGGTGATGATAGGTGACTTTAATGAAATTTCTTCTCTAAAGAAAAGAAACGAGGTGTTCATGTTAACATAACTAGATATAACAAGTTTGCTTCTATTCTTAATGATAGTAAGGTTATGGACCTTGGTTGTTTGGGCTCTAAATTTACTTGGAGAAGGTCAAAATGGCTGCACTTGGAGAGTGTTTATAAGAGACTGGACCGGGTTTGTGCTAATGCTGATTGGAGAACTACTTTTGATGAAGCCATTGTGAGAACTTTACCTAGGCTCAATTCTGATCATAACCTCATCCTGCTCTCTCTTCTCCCTTTTGATAAGACTTGGAGAAAAAGACCATTCAAGTTTTTGGCTTCTTGGCAAGATCACAAATCCTTTCCCCCTTTCCTCAACAATACTTTGTGTCCTAATTCTAAAATTACCACCTGCCTCTCTAATATTGTTCCTCATATTAAAAGTTGGAATAAGCAAGTCTTTGGCTGTATCCAAGCTAAGAAAGATTTTCTTTTGAAAAAGCTTTTTGATACCCAGCAGAATATTTTGAATTTAAATGATGAAGATTTGTCTAGCTGGGAGAACAGTATTCAAGATGAGCTGAATTTAATTCTTGAGAAAGAAGTGTTGTGGTTTCAATAAGCTAGATGCAAGTGGGTAAATGATGGGGATAAGAATACAAAATTCTATCATACTACCACTATCATTAGAAGAGCTAGGAACAGAATTGTGGAGCTAAAGAACGATGAGGGGCACTTTGTAAGGGATGAAGCTAATCTTATTAATTTAATCCATTCCTTCTATGCTAATCTTTTCACTGAAGAAGTGCCCCTGAGGCCGTGGCATAACACCTGCACTAGATGGCCTGATTTTGAGCTCAAAACATTGGAGCAGAGAATTTCCTATAGTGATATCAAAGTTGTTTTTTTTAATATGGGGATCCTTAAAGTCCCTGGACCAGATAGTTTTCCAGCTTTATTTTTCCAGAGGAATTGAAATTTAGTTGGTCAACAAACCTATGAATTTATTTAGTTTTTATGGAATATTTCGGTTAGTATCAAAGAGATTAATCAGACTTTTCTAGTTTTGATTTCGAAGCTGAAAAAATCGGAGAAAATTGCCCAGTTCAGACCTATAGCATTATGTTCGGTGCCCTATAAAGGGATTACCAAGATCATTGTTAACAAGTTAAAACCTCTCCTTAAAATGCTTATATCTCCTCATTAGGTAAGCTTCGTTCTTAATAGACAAATACAAGACAACATTGTGATTGCCCAAGAGATGGTTCATTCTATGAGTAAAATAAGGGGTAATAGAGGTTTTCTTGCAATAAAAATTGACCTTGAGAAGGCATATGATCGGATATCTCGGTCCTTTATCCACAATGTTCTCATGGATCTAAAGCTTCTTGCCTCCTTGATCAATATTATCATGCATTGTATATCCTCTTCAAATCTGAAAATTCTTTGGACTGGCTCCAAAGCTGGTTCGTTGTCTCCTAGTAGGGGCCTAAGATAAGGAGATCTTATATCTCCTTACATTTTTGTCCTTTGTATGGAGAAATTACTCATTTAATTGCGTATGCAGTTGACAACAAGAGATGGAAGCCTATGACAGCAGGTAAAAGGGGTCCTAAAATTTTCTATCTTTTGTTTGCAGAAGATCTTATGCTCTTTGCTGAAGCTAATATGGAGAAAATTTCCACCATCATGGCTACTCTTTCTTTGTTTGTTGATATCTCTGGCAGAATGTTAGTTCCTTAAAATCTAACATTTTTTCTCTCTAAATATGTTCCGAAGAATCTTGCCAGTGATATAGTGAATATATCTGATTTTAAGCAAACTAAAAACCTTGGTAGATACCTTGGTTATATGTTGAAACATGGAAGAATAAACAAAAGCCACTACAATGATATTATGGATAGAGTCCACAATAGGCTTCAAGGGTGGCAAAGATAGTGTTTATCCATGGCTGGGAGAGTCATTCTTGCAAAGTCAGTTATCTCTGCTATTCCTATGTTCAAAATGCATAACAACTTACTCCCAATTGGTATTTGTGAAGATATAGAAAAATTGCAAAGCAATTCATTTGGGGTGACTCAGATAATCATAGGAAGCATCATCTCATATCTTGGGAAAATTTGAGACTGCCTAAGGAGCTTGGTGGGTTGGGAATTATAAACTTAAAGAAGCATAATGAAGCTTTTCTGCATAAATTATTCTGGAACTTGCTCCAGTCTCCTACTCATTTGTGGGCCCGTGTTTTGATCTCTAAGTATGGTAGGAAGCTATACCTCACTATGGAAGTTACTTGTAACCCATATGACTTTCATTTATGGAAAAGTATTTGTAAAATCTGGCCAAATGCAATAAAATCTTTGATCTGGAAGATTGGTGATGGTAAATCTGTGAGCTTTTGGTTTGATAGCTGGACAGGTCTGGATCAGAATCTGTTCTCCTTGGCTACTTTTACTCCCAATCTTGATGTTTTGATTAGAAAGGTTGAGGAGTATGTTCTTCCTAATGGTGGATGGAATTATTCTTTAATCAGTAGCTTTTTTCATGTAGAAGTTTTTAATAAAATTATGGCTATCTCCCCCCCAGATCCTGATATAGGTACTGACTGTATGACTTGGAAAAATTGGAATCCTAGCCAATCTTTAGTGAATATTGCCTATAAAAATCTCATGAGATCTGAATATGATATTCCTAATAACGATTGGGACAAAATTCAGAAGTGGAAAGGACCGGAAATAATAAAGTTCCTTATATGGAAAATGAAACATGGCAGATTGCTTACCAAGGAAAGAACTGCCAAGTGGGGAAATACCTCAGATAGATGTCCCTTTTGTTATGATAAAGTGGAAACATTATTGCATGCTTTCCGTGACTGTCCTAAAGCTCGGGCCATTTGGAACCTCAAGCTTCTTTAACCCCTTCCCCCTAACTTTTTTGTTTGCTCTTCTTTTCAGGATTGGCTAAATCAGAACTTATGTTTCAACAAAAGAAATATGGATGACTGGAGGAACTTTTTCTTCCTGGCTTGCAACTTCTTATGGAATTGGAGAAATTCTGAAATTCATGATGTGGATTTCTCCAGGCCAGCGAATCCAAAAATCTGCATTGTTTCCTTGATGAACCAGATCATTTTGAGCAAAACTCATGCTTCTTCTTGGACCCGTCCGGAACCTGGTATTGTTAAACTTAAAGTAGATGGAGCCGTTATGAACGAAAAGGCTACTTGTGGTGGTCTTCTTAGAGACTTCAATGGATCCTGGCTTGGTGGTTTTTAATTTTTTTTAGGATCCTATTCTCCTCTGCAATCTGAATTCTGGGCTGTCTTTCATGGTTTACATTTTGCTTGGAACAAAGGTAGAAGGAAGAGTGAAGTAGAAAGTGACTCCTTTTTAGTGGTTAATTCTCTTACCTATACTGGTAATGATACTCAAAAGTTTCCATTGGTAAATAAGATTCGAGTTTTATTTGATAGAGATTGGAGTGTTTGTATATCTCATGTGCCTAGAGCTTGTAATAATTGTGCGGATTGGCTAGCCAAAGAAGCATTCAACAACAACTATGGCCTATCTTCTTTTTCATCTCCTCAGCCAGATCTGAAGAACCTTCTCCCCGCTGACTGTCTTGATCCTGGAGATATAACTTCTGTTATATTTACTTAAGCTTTCTATTTTTTTTCCTTTGTTGTTTCTTTTGTTTGTTTTTTCTTTGCGTTTGGGGCCTAGCCCCTCTTTTGTACCAAAATAAAATAAAATTGATAAACAATTTTTCCATATATATATATATATATATATATTAGAGGAAAATTATACTTACAACTTATTTTTATTTACAATCACAATCTTAACCGTTGATTTCCGCCAATCAACATTTATTATTTTCGTAAATTAAATTTATTAATTAATTATTAATTAGCAATAAACGATAACCATTGATTGACGGAAATCAACGGTTAAGATTATGGTTGTAAAAAGTTAAAAACAAAAATAAGTTGTAAGTATAACCTTCCTCTATATATTATAATATTCCTTAAATTTTGAGTTACATGCGAACTATTTTAATTCGTGACCACCGTTCACACTTATTAAATTCCTTAAATGTTTAATATCACGTATTTCTACGTCATCATGACTATTTCATATTGTTATTTTAAGAAGTTAATTCCTAATATATTATTTTTTTTAAATAAATATATTTATCGTAATAATAATTACGCATTCATTCAAAATAACTGCATTCACATTATACCTATCTTGACAATTTATTATTAAAATATCAGAAAAATATTTATGTTGAAAGATTATCCGCACTTACTTTCAAAACGATATCATTTTGAGTTTGAAAGATTAGAAAATTATAATTATAAAAATTATAATAATTCTGAAATAAATTAAAATTACAAAAATATCATGATTTTTACCACAAAACAACATCATGTTGAGCTTACTGCAGATAACTTATCTGTAGTAATTGCAGAAAAAACGAACCCTTAAAATATTATCTAAAATATCTTCTTATATATATAAAAAAGAAAATATATTTCTCTACATAATTTTGTCTAACGCACAAATTAAAAAAATAAGTGAGATTTACTTTCTTTTATTTTCTCGTTTCTTCTGCAGTTACTCTGCAGATAATTATTTGCAGTAAGCCCAATATGATGTCGTTTTGGGGCGAAAATCATAGTATTTTTATAATTTTAATTTATTTCAGGGTTATAATAGTCTTTATATTTATAATTTTTTACGATTTTAATCCCAAAATGACGTCGTTTTGGAAAGAAATACAGATAACTTATCTGCATTAACTGCAGAAATATTTTTTCCATATATATATATGTATGGAAAAGTGTTTGTCATTTTAAATGACAGAAAATTATGTCATTTTAAGAGAGATACATACACAACAAATTTAAATTTTAAATTAAAAAATCACTCACTTTCTCTCTCCCATGATTTCCGTTTTTCTGTATCTATCTCTCTCCTAAAATGACAAACTTATGTCATTTAAAATGACAAACACCAAACATATATATATATATATACACACATGAGACTAGAGACTTATTCCACAAAAAAATTTGCAAGAAATGATTTATCAAGAGAAACAATCACTCCATTGGGATTAAAAAAAACAAAAAACAAAATAAGAGATCATTCCAAAACTCGATTAAATTAAAAATATTTGAACTTGTTCATACAAAATCTTCAAAGTATGAACTGAAAATTGAGATTGAATCAAGTTAAGCTGATTTTTTTTTTAATTTTTAATTTTATAACTTGTCGTGTTTGTCCGTGAAAGTCATAAAACTTTCTCTGCTTCTTCGTTCTTCGTTCTTCTTTACTCTTTAGTTCTTTCTTGGTTCTTCTCTTTCGCCAAATACAAAGTCCACATTCAATTCAACAATCAATACCTTTGAACAAATCCACTAACCAACCATTTCAACCTTTTCTCTCTCTACAATCAAAAACCCTCTCTCTCTCTCTCTGTTCACACACTCTCTCTTTCAATGTCGCAGTTCACAGCACCATGTTGCTAGGGCTGCATCAAACATGGTCTTCAAAGGAAGGTTCTTCTCCTCTTCCAAGAAATCCGATTCTTCTAGCCCTGATGCTTCTTCCAATAGTCCTCGATCATTCACCTCCAATTCCCCTTCCAGATCCGACAAGAAAAAGCCCAAATCCGCTGCCAATCCATCCCTAGCCGCCGCCACCGGTGGCGGCGGAGGATTCGGCGCCGCCGCCGCCGCGTGCCGCCAGACGCAGGTGAAGGACGGAACCAGGAAGAAGGATGCTGTCGTCAAGGGCAAAGAGACCCAAACTCCACCGCCGGAGTCTCGTTACGGCAACAAGGACTCACCGTCGAAGAAGTTGACGGCGGCGGCGGCGGCTGAGGGAAAGGAATCGCCGTCGTCGTCGTCGTCTTCGGTTTCGCCGATTCTGGCATCGTCGCTTGGGCTGAACAGGATAAAGACGAGATCGGGGCCGTTGCCGCAGGAGAGCTTCTTCGGGTTTAGGGGAGATAAGGCGACGGCGATGACGGCGGCGCTCGGTGGCAGTAACCTCTCCAAAGGTGGTAGCCGTGGTGGTGATGGGAAGAAGAAGGAGCTGGTGAACCAGAACAGAGTAGGGTTTCACGAGGGTTTAGGCGCTGGGACCGGAGCTTGGGTTGATAATGGGAGCAATTCGGATAGCATGTCGACGGGGAGTGGGCCGTCCAGGGAACAGAGTCCGATTGTGTTGGCTAAGTCGCGGCTACAGAACGGAGAATCATCCTCCGAAGCAGGTATCAGTACAAATCTAGCTGTCAATTTGTAGTCCAAGTTTCCCACTTCTGTAATGGTATGTTGTGTGTGAGCATTGGCATGGGCATGATAGAACTATGGATATATTTAATAAAATTGATGGTATTGTTTCAGTTTTTTTTTTTTTTACTGAGTTAAGTACATGATCATAGTTTGGAAAATTTGATTAAAATTTTGGTCTAGAAGTCTCATTAAGGGCCTATAGTTCCTGCCATTACTATACCTACATTATATACTTTAATAGGAATGGAAATGAGGAATTATAAGAATTGATTTATACATTTGAAGACATTATCAATAGGATATAGCTCAATGGGCAGATTAGAATGATTAAGCATACAATATAACCAGCCTTCTTTAAGAAAAGAAAAAAAATTTGTAGCTCAATTGACAAAGTTAACTATTTTCATATATTCTCCATATTACAATGTATATATTGACGGGGACCATATTGCTACTATTTTGTAATATCATTTAATTAACCAAATGGCACATTTTTGTAAAGTTGTTGGGAAAATACACAAACAACTGAAAACACTACACTTAATAATAAAAAAACACTGACTACACTACAACAACAAAAGCCTTTTCCCAACAGGTGGGGTTGGCTACCGTAACTGAAAACACTGGGACTCAAAATTTTGGAACTACTTTCTGTAGGTTTGGAACCATAGTTGTAAGTTGTAAAAATCGGTTTGTATGACTTGATCAAATGGCCGTGTTACTGATTCGACCACCAGTCTGAATGGAAAAACTCTCAGGCAGAACTATAAAAAAGAAAATAATAAAAAGCACCCGGTTTTTGTGATTTCATGAAAGTCCACTGGGTTTACCAGTTTTTACCTGGCTCAAACAGGCTGGTTTTTATCTGTTTCCCCGAGCTTTGACCATATTTGACTAAAAAGCAGTTAGAGCTAGGCATCACACCCTGGAGAAAGAGATGATGCATCAAACTCAGGGAGGCTGAAATTTTCTCTGAAAATAATTTCTTCATGCACTGTATATATTTTGTTAGCTGTTTAAATCACTCATATAGGACTAGTTAAGTAGGTGTAGTTCACAACTTAACACCCTAGTGAAGTAACCATCCTCTAATAAACATTAATTAATATCTAAGTAACAATAATAACTGAAGGAAAATCCCACAGAGCTATAGCCTGTAGTCCTGTACAAATACACAAATAAATATCTTGACTCTTAGACCCTCATGTGAATTGCTGATATCCTTATGACTAAATATTACTATTAACCCCAATATCAACATTATACCAAACAAGTGAGGTTTGTGGATCTTTAAACATAGGACTTATTCTAGATTTACTGCTAGATTTACTGCTGCATGCATCATATTGGTTACTGCTTTGCACAGTGAAAGTGGCTGGCTGTAGGAGCCAATCAACCATTTTTCACCTTTCTGCTTCTCTATCTTGCAAGCTCATCTGTTATTGGTTTCTGTAATTAGCAGAATAGTTGTATTGGTAAAGTTTTATATATGCTATGTGCCCTCAGGCTTTTTGTCATGTGTGAATGCTTGGGCGGTGTTTGAGGGGTAGGTTTTGGGTTGATGTCATTATTGTTCCATTTTACCCACTTCCATTCAACAAATTTGTGCTAACTGTTTCTGTGTTTATTTATACTTAACTGTCCGGCAAAACTATGTTGTTTTATATCACGGAATGTTACTTTTTGATCATGGTATCACTTTAAACAGGGAAGCAGGCATCATCATGGGCTCAGAATGGAGGCTTAAGAAGTGCAGATGTTTGCACTCCAGAGGTACCGCTGAGTGTGGAGAGTGTGTCTGTGTGTGTGTATATGTGTATATATATGCATGTGGTATCTTCTATTATTACTCCGATTAACTTAAATTTTGTCTTAATTGGTTGTTATTTTATGTTTATTCATTTATTATGGCAGAAAAACTGATTGTTTCCTTTTCAGACAGCATATGATTTTGAAAACCCAAAGGAGTCTGAATCTCCTCGTTTTCAAGCTATATTACGTGTCACGAGTGCACCCAGAAAGAGGTTTCCAGCAGACATCAAGAGTTTTTCCCATGAGTTGAATTCCCGGCCTTTTCCATTTTTTAAGCGTCGAGGGTTAAATAACCTTGAGGTACTTTAGTTTCCATTTCACATTATATTGTGGAGTTGATGATTTTTGTTGTTGGACGTATTACTTTAAAATTGCTTTACTTTGTTGTGCAGGATATCTTGGTTGTTATTAGGGCAAAATTTCATAAAGAAAAGGAAGAGGTGAACTCTGATCTGGCTATTTTTGCTGCAGACCTGGTTGGAATTCTTGAAAAAAATGCAGATACTCATCCTGAATGGCAAGAGAAAATTGAAGACTTGCTAGTTTTGGCTAAGAGTTGTGCTATGACTTCACCTGGGGAGTTTTGGCTTCAGTGTGAAGGCATAGTTCAGGAGTTGGATGATAAGCGTCAAGAGCTTCCTCCGGGAACGCTAAAGCAGCTTCACACTCGAATGCTTTTCATTCTCACAAGGTGTACCAGATTGTTGCAATTCCACAAGGAAAGTGGTTTGGCAGATGAACATGTTTTCAATATCCGTGAATCCATGCATTCTGTGGAAAAATGTATTCCTCCTGGTGTGGGAAGGGATACTAAAAGTTCTAGTGCCGCAAAGGCCTCAAAGGCTTCGATGAAAAAAGCTTTTAGTCAGGAGCAGAGTACCTTGGGTTGGAAGAAAGATGTTATGCAACCAGAAAATGTATTGCTTCCTGTTGATGATGATACTTCAAAACACTTTGAGTCTCCTTCAGGCAGGGATCGGATGGCTTCCTGGAAGAAATTCCCATCTCGATCAGGAAAAAGCCCAAAAGAAACATCTCAGTTGAAGGACCAAAATTATGGGAGGGTTGAACCTTCAAAGACATCAAATAATAAGAGATTCACTTCTGATGTGGATCTTTCTGCTGCTAAACCGTCGGAGCTTCTTCCTAACAAAGATTCACATGACCATGCTTCAAAGCACCAACACAAAGTTTCTTGGGGCTACTGGGATAATCAGCAGAATAATAGTGAGGAGAGTTCGATAATTTGTCGTATATGTGAAGAGGAAGTACCTACTTCACATGTTGAAGAGCATTCAAGAATTTGTGCAATTGCTGATAGATGTGACCAGAAGGGTCTGAGGGTAAATGATCGTCTTTTCAGAATTGCTGACACACTTGAAAAGATATGTACGCAGAAGGATACCCAACAAATAGTGGGAAGTCCTGATGTTGCAAAAGTGTCAAATTCGAGTATGACCGAAGAATCTGATGTTCTTTCCCCTAAACTTAGTGATTGGTCTCGCAGAGGCTCAGAGGATATGCTAGACTGTTTCCCTGAAACTGATAATTCCGTTGTTATGGATGACCTAAAGGGATTACCACTTATATCATGTAAAACTCGTTTTGGTCCAAAGTCTGACCAAGGTATGACAACATCATCTGCAGGGAGCATGACTCCTAGGTCTCCTTTAATGACACCAAGGACAAGTCAGATTGACTTGCTCTTGGCGGGGAAGGGTGCTTATTCCGAACATGATGATCTGCCACAGGCATGCACTTTTTTTAACCTCTTATATGAAATACTTTTATTTGTGATATATTGTCCTATACTAATTATGTCATGGCTGAGATTGTTTATTCAATTTAGCATTTGATATCAAATGGGCTTCCCCATGTGTTCCAGTATGAACTTGTATGTTTGGTTGTAGTGTGCTTTGACTTTTAATATTAGGCTTCTTTTTTCAGATTATTTAGTTGATTGGACATCGTCTGATACTTGACATTTGATTGAAAATTATATGATGATTTTCTGTGTGTATTTCAGACTTTCTTACTGCCACACACCAACTTGCTGAGCACACTTTGTAGAAGAAATATATAAAAAAGGAAAATCTTAGGTTGCATTTATTGATCTAGGTGTTGTTTTTGTTTTAAAAAGTGCATTTTGAATTACATTTGTGAAAAATTGAGTTATAAGGATCATTTGGTTTTTGAAATGATTTTTATGAGAAATAATTGAAATAGTAAAACTACAAAATTAATTGAATCTTATCAACCTCAAGTAGCATTGTGATTCTTCGTGGGTTTATAGATTATTTTAAGCAACCTGAAAATAGTCCTCTGCTGAACAAACAGCAATGAACGGCACGCCTTACATGTGTTAGGAATTGATTCTTTCTTTGAAATTTAAGTGCACATGGGGAAAAAAAAAATTCAAGGAATGGGGGAAGTATGTCAAATTTGAACCTGGATAAAAAGGGAATGATTGGGTGTCATTAGGGGATTAAGTTGGTTAGGTGGTCATGTGAGCCACTCTGTTCCACTTTGGTGGTAGTTTTGTTTTTGTAATTATTTTTTAGAGATCAATTACCAGCTGTGTGCTATACAAAAGGGGCATTTTGCTGGATATTGAAGGGATAATGATCAGCAAAATGATGTCTCTGTTGGTTGTTATGACAAAATTACTACATTAACAGTTTGATTTGTAAATTAGTATGATAAAATTGTTATGTCCCAAAACAAAAGAAAGAACTATTCTGTTTCATTTTGCATGGTTGATATTATCACTATATTGAAAATGTTGGAATACACAGTAAAGAAATTTGTTATTTCATGCATTCTCATACTTATCTTTGAGCCATTTAAGCTTATCACTTATCGTGTCAAACTATTTTTTTCATGGAATCTTGTAGATGAATGAACTTGCTGATATAGCACGATGTGTGGCAAACGCACCTCTGGATGATGATCGCACAACATCGTATTTATTATCTTGTCTTGATGACTTGCGGATTGTTGTAGAACGAAGGAAATTTGATGCCCTTACTGTGGAGACCTTTGGAACCCGCATTGAGAAGCTGATCCGGTTAGTACTTTTCTGGTGTATATGTTGTAATACATCTCTATAATAAGGAAAGCAGTTAAAGCAAACATTGAACTTAAGTGGATGGATTCGTACAGAATACAATTTATTGCAAATTCTTGTCAAAGACACTTTTGCCACAGAAGAATCATAACTTTATAACTAAATACAGAATACCAAGTACCATAATGATAGTACTGCTTCTATGTATGTGATTATCTGTCCAATATCTTTCTGTGGCGTTACTAATCAAAAATTTCCTTAAACTCACCTAAAATATTTTTTCAATTTTCTGTACTTTTGACTTTCCTAGTGTTATTATGATGGAGACAAGACAAGCCAAGAATCTGCCATGGAATTATGGTGGGTGGCGTAGTGGCAAATGGCGGACAAGTTGCCCTTGTTAAAAATCTATAAAAATACTCTTCATAATATATAAAATAAAAATCTGATAACTTATATGAAAAATGATGTACATAATTCAAACGTGTTCTAGCATATCCACAAAGTCTAATACAAAAGCAATCCAAAGGAAAGAAAACACAGACAAATACCCGAAACATAAAATAATGAATGAATGTCATATGGCTATAAAAAACTCAAATTGGTCTCTGTATGCATGTTTCTATCATGTTGATGTCTAGATACTGTTATGAACTTCTGGTGAATGAAAAAGCATGAAAAAAGGAGTATGTGTTGCTTCTGTTCTATAACTGCTGCTATTGAATTTAATAAATAAAAAGGACATGATAACGGACAAGAACATGCTCTGTATTGGTGAAGGAAAACATTGCGGAGGTATCTGACTAATAAAGTGAGAGAAGAGGGACTGGGTTCCAATCAAAAGTAAAAGAAAATTAGAAAACAGAACACATAAAAAAGAACACAAAAACACTTGATATGGAGGCGGGTTACTTACTGGAGATGGAGAGGAGAAACCAAAGACAGACTGAACCAAAGATGTGAAACAGGGCAATCCCCAAATTTATCTGTCATTTCATTCTTGTGGTCACCATAACACCACGCCGCCATTGGTATGGCAGCTGCCATGGTGCTGTTATTGCAAAACCACAACGCCAAGCTTTTCATATGGCTTTTTCTATATAACCTGCCACTGCAATCCACCATTGTGGTGCCATTGCCTCAATTTAATGCCATAGACTTTTCAAATTGTCCTTTGCAATCTTTAGGTGATTATTCTTATTAAGTTGTAATTTGGTTTGGTAGGGAGAAGTATCTGCAGCTTACTGAAATGGTGGATGTCGATAAGATAGAAATAGGGGGCACTTTAATTGATGATGATGTTCTCTTGGAAGATGATGTGGTTCGTAGCTTGAGAACAAGCCCAGTCCATTCTTCAAGGGATCGTACCTCTATTGATGACTTTGAGATTATAAAACCTATCAGTCGTGGGGCATTTGGACGGGTTTTCTTGGCAAAAAAGAGAACGACAGGTGATCTTTTTGCAATAAAGGTAATTATACTTTATGCAGCTGACTTGCTGGTTACTGCTTAAACTCCCCCCTCCCTTTTCCTCATGTCATGTTTGGCTGTGATGGCATTTATTGTATCATCTCTAAATCTGAAGATCCCTTAGTCCTCACATTTCGTCCTCTATATGTCGGTTTTGTGCATGTTCATTTATGTGATTTGTAGAAGAGTTGTTTAAAAATGTTGGATTACCCAAGGCTGAATTATCTGGGTGAAGTTTTATTAAACCTTATGGGTTTCACATATAACTGTGTATTTGATTTTATATTTCACCAATTGTTGTATCTCTCATAACATGCTGCAGCCAGTGTTAACATATGAAAATTAAAATCTACATTGAATTTCTTCTATACACTCTGTCTGACCTTGTATTTCCTTCATTTTATTTAATAACTTTTCTTTCTTATCTGGAAAAATATCGGCATTGAATTTTTCTTTTACATTATTTTCCTTGTATTGTTTATTACTTTGTCCTGTTTTCATCTTTTAATGGTTCTATGCTTCCGAGGTGATGTTAATGCAATGAATTTTAGTGACATGGCTTTTTTGGTATATCACTAATCTATTGTGTTTTAAATTTGTTTCTATTTCTTGTTTTATAGTTTTACTCTTTAGTTCTTTACCATATTGAACTATTTTGTAACAGGTTCTCAAGAAGGCAGATATGATCCGGAAGAATGCTGTGGAAAGTATATTAGCAGAACGTGATATCTTAATTACAGTGCGCAATCCTTTTGTGGTGAGCAGGTCTAACTTGCTAATTATTCTATATTGCTCTGAGAAATGGTAACTTTGTTCTAACTTTAGTTTGAACTTAATCAGGTTCGATTCTTCTATTCTTTTACATGTCGTGAGAACTTATATCTTGTCATGGAGTATCTGAATGGAGGTGACCTCTATTCATTATTAAGGAATTTAGGGTGCCTAGATGAGGAAGTTGCCCGTGTATATATTGCTGAAGTGGTAATTATTGGCTCTCTCTCTCTGGTAATCTAGGAAAATGATCTTTTATTATGTTGTCTAAATATAAGTTTCTGTGCAATGGTAGGTTCTTGCATTAGAGTATTTGCATTCGCTGCGTGTGGTTCATCGTGACTTGAAGCCCGACAATTTATTGATTGCACATGATGGTCACATCAAGGTATTGACTGACTAATTTATTTATTTATTTTCCTTTTACTCTTGGGATAAATTTCAACAGTCTTGTATTTTAGTACAATTTAATATTAACTTTACGATTTTTGGTTGGGCTAGCCTGTTTAGGTGATCTGGTGGTGATTTGGAATTTTTTGGGGGCCTATATCTATAATGGTTCATTGACTTTACATCTTTACCATTAGCTTCTTTCAACATTACTATACTAACAATATCATCCTTGTAATTTATGTTTTATATCAAGATACAAAACACTATTTATTTTCCTCATAAGATAATGGTGAAAACTAGGTTGTCAGTAGTGGCCCGTAGCGCCGCTAAACCGCTACCATAGCGGGTAGCCGCGGTCGGACGCTACAAACCGCGACGCTACGCGACATTGGCCGTAGCGGAAGGTAGCGGCGTAGCATAGCAGCAATACCTCTACCCGCTACACCACTCCCATGTTGGAATTTAATGGAGAATCCGGAGATGATGATGATTTTCTTTATTAGTTCACTTCTTGTACTTGACTATTTGACAATGTTATTGTTCAGTTGTGTTTAATTTTGGATCCTTCCTTTATGTTCTTTGTATTTGACATTGATTGTGGAATTATGCGTTTGATTTTGTGTGACTTCTTATTTTTGAGCATTAATACTAAAAGCGGTATTGCCTCGTTTCTTGACTGTTAGTATAATATATGTGTAATTAATACTTCACCGTAGCGGTAATACCGCTACCCGCTACACAGCTATACCATTTTCGGGGTCGGCCGCTAACTGCTATTGACAACTATGGGTGAAAAAGCTTTATGCCAGCATATACACAGCTGTGTTGCTTCCTACTTCCTGGGGAGGGAATTATCTATGAACTTGAATATTCTCTCCCTTTACAGTTAAAAGTTATAAAAGAGATTAAGTGCTCATTTGGATGTTTTTTTCTTGGTTAAAAAGATTTTTTTTCTAAATTACTTTTTGTTATATTTTTGTGTGTTTGGATGAGGTTTTTCTAAAAAAGCTGAAGCACTAGAAAAACACATTTTGTGCTGTTAATTTCTTTTTCCTTTCTAGCTAGATTTTTGTGCTTCTAAAGAAGACTTTTTTTATAACATAGAGAAGCTTTTCAAATATTAAAAGAAGTACTCAAATATTACATCCAAACACAAAATAACTTCAACTTTCCTAAAAGATATCTTTTTAAAAGCTCATTCAAACCAGCCCAAAGTCTTTCCACCTCTTAGTGTATACAATGTATCCTTTCCTTTTGAGTTTCAACATTCATGTAAACCTTTGGCTCTCTTGAATATATTTTATACATACTGATGTTCTGCTAGTCAACTTGATTTTTTTTCTTTTTCTTTTCTTTCTACTTCTGCAGTTGACAGACTTTGGGCTTTCAAAAGTTGGTCTCATCAACAGCACTGATGATTTGTCTGGTCCAGCAGTGAGTGGGACATCCCTACTCGGGGAGGATGAACCTGACATAATTACATCTGAGGATCAAAGGGAACGGAGGAAGAAACGTTCGGCTGTGGGTACGCCTGATTACTTAGCACCAGAGATACTTTTGGGAACTGGACATGGTTCGTATAGTCCCACCCTTTATGTTTAAGGTGGTTTGATTTCTGTTTTCATTTCCATCTCTTAAAATACAGATTAAAGTTGTCGATATTAGGGTAATTTGTTTTAAAAATAAAATGGCAAAAACATTATTTTCCTGCTGTTTATGATTAAGTTATTTATGATGCTGGAAAAACTGGAAGGATGTTTATAGTGAAATGATGAAATCAAATGAATTTTTTTTTATCATTGTAGCCTGCTGATTTAGTGGTTCTACATTTTATTCTGTTGAATATTCTCATTTATTTTTTTTGTGTACTTACTATTGCAAACATAACATGAACAAAATATCTGTTCAAATTTTACAGGGTATACCGCAGATTGGTGGTCTGTTGGAGTCATTTTATTTGAGTTGCTTGTTGGTATTCCACCCTTCAATGCAGAGCATCCTCAGGTTTATACCCTGCTACTTTGTGTATTAATGTTTATATATGACTTTAAGTTTCTGTTTTTGTTAATTTTGCCTTTACATGGTTGAGTTCTCACTGACAGATGATGTTATTTTTGTGTTTGTAGACTATATTTGATAATATTCTTAATCGTAAGATACCTTGGCCCACAGTTCCTGAAGAAATGAGTCCTGAAGCACAGGATCTTATTGATCGGTAATAGATATGTTATGTTATTATTATACATCACTGCTCTTATTATTTTGAACATATTTTAGAACATGGCTACCTTTTATATGTTGTTCTCAACACATTCGATTATTATTGCTGCTTATCAATGCAAAGATGACCTTCGCTATATATTTTGTTTAGCAATCTTGGTCCTACATTTTGTGATGCTTAGGAAAGCCAAATTGTTTGGAAACGACAAGTAAAGGAGCGCAAAGGTAGTAGAGAAGTGAGAAAGATTGAATGGAAATCTGTTATTGATGACTGAAACACAAACACAGAAAAGAAGAGAATTTTCCTTCTGAGAGTTTCCCCTTTCTACAACAGATCTAATACTCCGTTTTCAAATGATAACAAATCAGAATCCCCCACTCCTCTACCTTCGCCTCCTGTTTAAGTCAATTCCCTACCTCTACAACTTTAACCACTTACCTATTTAACTAACTACTTTTTGACCCTATCATAATGTGTGCTTTATTTTAATGGATTTTTATGACATTAACCATTCTGTCTCATGCTTGACATTGCAATATTCTTAGATCATGATACTCAGGATGTGATAAAAAAAGGTTAATCTAGGACATTTTAAAACCTTGAAGTCAAGTGAGTCAAAGGCAAAAAGGCACCCTTGAGGTGAGAGGTGCCTAAAAGTTCATGCCTCACTGAAGTAGACATTATATAAATTGCATAAAGGCTTTTGAGATTGATGGTTTTGTCCAGTAATAATAACAACAAACATTTTATATTATGATTTCTTGTCATGGGGTGTTATTCTCAGTTAAGCACTCATATAATTAAGATAGCTGGATGTTTTCTTCTTTTAGTGTCTGAGATGTTCAATTTTCAGATTATTGACTGAAGATCCTAATCAAAGACTGGGAGCCAGAGGGGCATCAGAGGTGATCTAATTTCCTATAATCCTATGGATGCTTGTTTTCAATTTTTATGATAAAATTTCTTTATTGATTTCTTTTAAATGTCAAACTGATAGACACTTAATGATCCCAGGTTAAGCAACATGTTTTCTTCAAGGATATAAACTGGGACACACTTGCCAGGCAGAAAGTGTGTATTCTACTTGTCCTAAATGTTATTGTTAATTTTACTGCCTATCTCTTTTTTTTTTTTTTTGGATACATATACTGCCTATCTCTTGATGTAGATGTCAATTGCTGAACATAATATATTTGTTGGTTTTGCAGGCTGCATTTGTTCCTGCTTCTGAGAGTGCTCTAGATACCAGTTACTTCACTAGTCGCTACTCATGGAATACTTCCGATGGCTTTGCATATCCAGCAAGTGATGTTGAGGATTATAGTGATGCTGATAGCTTAAGTGGCAGCAGTAGTTGCTTGAGCAATCGCCAAGATGAAGTGGTACTGCATTTTTATAAACTAAATGTAAAATACTAACTGAAATCAATTTGAAGTATTATGGGCTGACTTCCTCTTGGGAACATCTATAAACAGGGAGATGAATGTGGGGGTCTTGCTGAGTTTGATTCTGGCTTATCTGTCAATTACTCTTTTAGTAATTTCTCCTTTAAGGTAATTCTCTCTAATTATAATCTATTTCTTTATAATTTAACCAATTAGTTAAAATTAAATTTCATGAATGATGCACAGTCTATTGCCCTTGTTTTCTTGTCACTTAGACTGGGGTACAATATTGTGATGAATAGGAAGAATGGCTTCTCTTCGAGCTTAATATAATATTCAGCAGTAACCTAATACTTTTTCCCCTGCCAGCATAGCAGTTTGTGTTTTGTTGATATAGTTTGATAAATTTTTTGAAGATGTTTTGTTCTTGGGCTTATGCTGTACTTTTCCACTTTATGCCTAAATATTTTCTTATATTATGTGCTTAGTGTTTCCATTTGTTTTCAGAATCTATCCCAACTTGCATCAATAAATTACGATCTCACCAAGGGATGGAAAGATGATCCATCAACAAATTCCGGTGCATAGCTGTCTCATCCTTTGTCATATAGTCCAGAATTTGGTTTTCGACCTATGATCCAGGCAATTTTGGGGGCATAAGCACCTTCGTTGTTTGTATACCTTGTACATGTATGATTCTGCAAAACAATGTCATTTCATCATGTCTTATTTATATGTATTCTTGCTCATCTAATTTGAATTGCTGGAATTTGCAGAGATTTAGAGGCTGAAAGAAAGTGGTTCAGGATGTACTCTGTGCTTATTAGGTTACAGGACAACAGTTGGGGGTTTCAATCTTTCGGTTTATTGTGTATGAGTTGAGTACTCTGAATTCAAAAATTCATATACAGTTGCTCACATTGTTCTGTGGTGTAATTTCCTTAATATTCTAGCAATGAGAACACATCCCTTTTTGTCCGGGCCACTGTAACATTATTTACTTATAAAATTGATATGAAGTCTCTTCTTGAGGCCCCCTCGAGCATTTTCGGAACTTCTTGACTATAATGACCATTTAGCCATATCTATAAAGTAATTAACTTGTTCGCTTGGTTTCTGTTGGTTTTATTAACTTCGTTGGTTATGTTAAGGAAACATCACTTTGGACTCCCACTTCTCGCAGCTTAGTGCGTAATTAGAAGGTTATGCTAAGTGGACAAAAGTTACTGGATTTCATTAGTTGGTGCTAAAAATGTAATTTGGTATAGTCTCAAATAGTGGAGAATATAATGTAGTTTTTTAATCTGTCAAATTCCAATGTCATTATTCTTATTTGAGGGGGGAGAGGCATGTAAATATTACTGAAGTCAAACAGCACAATGAAGAAAGTCACTTCCGATTTTATACATTAAAGACACTTTTCTACAAAACGAAAGTAAAAGAAGTAAAAAAAGAGGGGGGCGCTTGAGAAACCGTTGTTAAAATCGAGATTTTAATAAAATAGAAAGGGGATGAAGACATCATAAAACGTAAAATTGTAATGTAAAAAATCATAAAAATGTAAAGCGTTTGGAATATTAGTAAAATTATTTTGATAAAAAAAAAATCGTAAAAACATAAAATCGTACTGCTAAATCGAGATTTTAACAACAATGTGAGAAACATTAAGATGCACCAAAATAAATAAGTAAATTATTAAAAACACATTGAGCCCTAACAATTTATTTATAGAATTTGTTTATAGTAAATTAAAATTTTAATTCTAAAAAAAAATAGTTTTTCATGAAGAATAAAAAAAGTATTAAGTTATATATTTTTTCAATTACATTCTAATATGATAAAAAGACGAGAAAGATTATATTTATCACCAACTAAGATTAAGAGAGAGAGACCAACTAAGATTAAAAGAGAAAGAGAGCGAAGGAGATAATGGAAGAGAAAAAAAAAAATTTATATCAAATAATAACCGTTGATTTGATTCCAACCAACGGTTATAAAAAAGTGATAAACTTAATTAGTGGTAAAATAACATCTTCCATCTACAAAAAAAAATAAAAAAAATATAACATCTCCCAAAAAAAAAAAATACTTCCCATTAAACTGAATTAGAGAGAATAGGAGTGAGGATAATTGCTACACATACGACCTTTCAGACTCAAAGCAATAACTTAACCACTATTTCAGATATGCTCTCTTAATTATATTCTAATATAATAATTAAATAACATTTCTTTAACTATATAAAAATATATTACAATTATAAAATATTAAAAAATAATTATACATCAAGTTGGGTAATATGCGAAATTAACCCCCCCCCCCCCCCCCCACACACACACAAAAAAAACAAAAAAAAAAAAAAAAAAACACACGCACATATATCATTATATCCTCTAAAATTGGATTCCGATCCGTATCTTAGGTTTATTCACGAAACCTATTCTTTCTTGGCAATAATTTTAAAATAAAGACTTTTCAGTTTTCAAAATATCAGTTTTCTTTTACATGAGACAACCTTTTCATTTGTCTAAATCTTTCACCTCTTATACAATGTAGATTTAATTTTAAATCTTTGTACTTACTATAAAAAAATTCATGAGTTGACATCTTGAGTAAAATATTAAATTAGTTACAGTCATTTTAATGAGAAATCTGTTTGGCAGCAAACATAATCCGTCAGTGTCATTTTGTCAGAAAGGAATCGTCAATGGTCCAATGGTTTGTGTTTGTGCTACTATAAGTCTGTCACCAATTTTGAAAGAAGATAGGACAATAGCCAAAGAGGCAACAACATCCCATGTAGTAAATTGGTGGGATGTCAATATTTGCTTTTCCCTCGTCACTTTTTCATTCTTCATATGTTTTCAAATTTCAACCCTTATTTGAATGCAGCCCTTCAAAATATTAACAAAATAAAATATCAGAAGAGGGTCTAGATCTCCCTAAATGCCAACAAAAAATGACCATGAATTAGTTACCAACAATGAAGAGGTGATACTGATGAATCCAGTGGTTATCATTAGGCCAAAAATTATAGAAAAAAAATTATTCTCATGTCATATGAGATTAGTTTTTTTTTCGTACACACCATTCGATAAATGTGTAATCTTTTTTATTTTTTAGATGATGGGCCTATCACTATGTATTTATGACATGAGATTTTCCTCTTATGTAATATGAGAATATATAAGCCCATATATATGTGTGAGAATCATTTTATATTGCAATTTCCAACTTACACTGCTGTAAAATGATTTTCACCCAACTTACATTTATGGTGTGTTTGGTAGGAGAATTATTTTTAGATGCTTGGAAAAGTGAGGATGAGTTTCCTATAATCCCATATTTGATAGCACATTGGAGAAAATTAACTTTTTCGAGTTGGTGTATATTTTCTAAATCAAAATATCACCGAAAAATACCATCTAGAGGGTGTGGTATTTCAAGAATCTCATACGATGAAAAAATATGGATTAATTTTTCTAACAAAAATAACCAAACATAGTATAAGGAAAATTAAACCAACATTTCCTAAAATATTTTAGTCTACCAAATAACTTTTGGTAATATTCTCAAAAAACTCACGTTCTCATTATATTCCAGAGAATTGTAATTTTCGAATAAAAAAAAATCTCATATATATATATATATATATATATAAATATATATCGACAGGATATTCTTACACCAGTGTAAGAATTAAGAGTCTTACACTCAATCTTGATCATTGATTCACTTGTATCCAATTACTCACATTACTAAAAAATTATAGCCCTTAGATATAAGTGGGATCAATGGTCAAGATTGAGAGTGTAACTTACACTGGTGTAAAATGATCCTGACTCATATATATATATGGGGTAGGATCCTTTGACACCAGTGTCAAATTTTGACACCTCATCTGAGAGCCGTTAGATAAAAAAAGATCAATGGTGTTATATGTTTACAAATCAGAGTCGTTGATCTTTTTTGATCTAATGGTCTTAGGATGAGGTGTCAAATTTCAAATTTGACACTGATGTCAAAGGATCCTACCTCTCTCTCTCTCTATATATATATATATATATATATATATATATATATGTAGGATCCTTTGACACCGGTGTCAAATTTTAATTTTGACACCTCATCTGAGAGTCATTAGATCAATGGTGTCACATGCTTGCAAATCAGAGTCGTTGATTTTTTTTTATCTAACGGCTCTCAGATGAGGTGTCAAAATTAAAATTTGACACCGGTATCAAAGGATCCTGCCTATATATATATATATATATATATATATATATATATATATATATATAAGCCCAAACACCGTAACTCAATCCGATTCCAATTGACACGGGACCTTGCTAAAATAGGATGGTAATGTCACTAACAAATAGGACCACTGTATCAGAAACACTCACTTTAACTGCACTGCCCCTCCACTATGCGTTTATGTGTACCCCATTTTGGTCCACCAAAAAGTTACAATTATCATCACATCCCCCAAATACATCACCTTTGTGATATGAACTTTCATCAGTTTATTTTGTACTCACCTGAGTGCAATTATTTCAAGTGCCAGCCACTGTCATGGTTTGATGTTTGAATTTTAAAATCTACATTAAGGAAAAGAAAGCATTTGATTAACTCATACTTAGTCACACAATACCATAATTGGCTTATAAGGACTAACATAGCTGGCTGAGCTTCCAATTTTACACTGTAATACCCTAATGTCCATTTCAATAATCAAAATAGGCTAAGTTTACAACAATAGCCACTTACTGAAAAATAATGCCAAGTAAATGTTGAATTATTCAATTCTCATGCTTAAAAACTTTTTCCTTCTTTCTTTAATATTATTGAAGGGAAATAGGGGTATTAGTTTTTTCTGTTACTGGAGAAATTTGTCCTCTCTTGTTGACTCAAAAATTTGTGGAATCCACTTATTATTAATAATAATAATAATAAGGATAGATTATTCTACCTACTCTTATTCTGTTTATCTTTACCTACTATTCTCAATACCGTTAAATTTTAATTTCATTCAACGATGGAGATTTGCGGAATAAAATAAATCTTTTTTGTTCTCCTCGTTTTCTCCCATGTCTTTTCTCTCTGCTTCCCTTTCTCGGTAGCATAATCATGCTAGTTGGAAAATGTTTAACAAAGATTAACACAACCAGAAGTATAGCCATGAATATTTTGAATTGTAGCAAAACCAACTAGTTCATATTTTGAAACCCTGGTCCAGAGATGAAAAAATTCCAAAGATAGGAAAGTGGCTAATAAGAAGCTGATTACACAAAAGACTTAACCTTGCAAATGATTTGAACATAAAAACGAGTTCCTGTTTTCCTTTAATTTTTAGTAAGAAAAGAAATTTCAAAGATGTTATCCTGAAACGTGTCTTTCCAATAGCTTCTCGGGTTACGTTCTCTATAGTGAAGCCACAATGGAATCTGTGAGATACGAACATCATGATTTCAATCGCTTCAAACCTAGCATCTTCACCATTTTGATTTCGATTCTATGTGATTCTTTGTCTTTGTCTTCGTTTGTGTGCATCGGTGAGGACAGTTGATTCAGATTGGGGTGCGAGGGAGAGAAAGGGGAGGAGAGATAAAGGATATAGGAGAAAATGAAAGAAAAAAAGGGATGTTTATTTTATCTTGCAAATCTTTAATGTTGGATAAGATTAAAATCTAAAAGTGTTAAGAGAATTAGATAAAGGTAAATAGAACAAGGGTAAACAAAATAACCTATCCTAATAAAAAAACAAAGATGGCGTGACTTTTTATGGTGTATGCTAGAAGGTATGTTTTTCTCCAGAAAAAAACATACCCCATTGAATTATGTATAAATCCATAGAGAAATCCATAGAGGCATCATATCAAACTTTTTACACATGGGCACACCTGTTTGACCTTGGCATATAATCACTTTTTGATGAAAGAGCAGGTTTTTGGTAGAGGAGAATTTTTTTTTATCCGAGAATCTTAATTTTTAAAAATATAATTTTTATATTCAATTTACAATAATATCCGAAAATTTAAAATTTAGAAAAATTCAGTTTTCCGAGAATTCATCCAAAATCCTTGTACATCTCTTGGAATTTACTTTTAAGTTAAAGGTATATCAACCCATAAAATTCATTTTTATTAAAATATTGATAAAAAAGAAGATATGTGTATGGAAGTGGGAAATTTCTTAATTCACCTGCCAAGAGGAGGAAGAGTTAATCAAAGTGGGTTTTGAGTATAAATCATCCTCTTTACCAAGGTGGGGAGGTTCACAACAATTAAGGAGAGGACATGTCCCACCTACAAGACAGTACAACCAACCATTATAGTGATTATATCATCTCAGTTTCAACAGAGAAAAAGTTGCACCAAAAGCAAAAGCCAAATGGTAAAGCAAAACTAATAATTACATCAACCAGAATCCACAGTCAATTTACTAATGAGAAAAGATATCCACTCTCCCAAGGTATTGATTGGGAAGAAAAAAGGGTGAACTAGTACAATGGATGCTGAAAAAAATTACAACAACATAAGCACAGGATTTTGGAATCAAAAGTAGTAAGATGGAGGCAAACCAAGACCAAACTCATCTAGAAGATATATCATCTATATCATTGATCAAATCATGTTGTTGGATTTGGCCTTGATCCTCTTTCAAACTTGACCTACGTAACTCTTCTATGTGCTGTCTCACTTCAGAAACTGAAGGGCGCTTATCAGGGTATGGTGCTGCACAATCTACTGCAAGTTGCAACAACTGAACCATTTCTTCTTCAACATTCTGATGCCTAAGGAGCTCAAAATCGAAGACCTCAGAAGTCCATTCTTCTCTAACAATTGATTGCACCCATCTTGGAAGGTCCACTCCTTCCTCATTCAAGAGGGCATGAGTAGGAGCCTTTCCGGTAAGAAGTTCCAAGAGCAATACACCAAAGCTGTATATATCAGCTTTCTGAGATACTTTCCGAGGATCAGTTACCTCCGGAGCACGGTAGCCGGCAACCCTGTTGGGTGTGGATGAAGGACCAACAAGGTGTGCAAGGCCAAAATCAGATACTCTTGCATCATAGGACTTGGTTAGGAGGATGTTTGATGACTTTATGTTTCCATGAGAAACATTAGGCCCTTGTGAATGTAGGTATTCAATGCCACGAGCAGCTCCAAGTGCAATGCCTGATCTCAATTCCCAATTCAGTGGTGTCCTACCCGCTCCTTTGTTTCCTGTGATAAAGAATTGTAAACCTCATTTTACCATTGTTCATGCTAATGAATGAGATGTCAGGCTCTATTTCATCTTAACATAGTTACAAAGAGGTCAATGGGATTTAAAAGTTGATGCCAATTCACATCTTAACAAAGTAACAAACCCAGATAGATGTAAGAGGAAACAAGTGAACTGAAGTGGAAATGCAATGCAAGACAAATTGTAATTCCTAAAGGATGCTACACTCTCTTTCCCCTTCTTTTGTCAGATGCAATGTAATCAACAGTCAGTGATTAATAGCAATTATGCATTCTCCAGAAAAAATAAAGCACAAAACATAAGAGAATGCAAATTGCAGTAATCATTCTATTAAAAAACTAATATAATGAAATCAGTAAAGAAAATCTGAAGTCATAACCACAAATCTTTAAAAGACAGAAATCATGAACAAAGGTAAAAAGGAAGCAGATGATATCCAAACCCTCACCATGCAAAAGTGCAGATAAGCTTCCCATTGGAAAGTAATCATGAACAAGAAGCTTCTCATCCCTGCTATAATAGTAAGCCCTAAGAGGGACCAAATTTTCATGATCCATTGTTCCAACCCCTTCAATCTTCTCCTTGAATTCCCTCTCAGAAATGGTCACATCCCTCAACCTCTTCACAGCCACCACAGGACCAACCTCCAAAACCGCCTTATATGCAGTCCCAAAAGTCCCTTTCCCCAAAACCTCTGCAGAAGCCCTAAGCAAATCCTCAAGATCAAACACCTTACTTGAATTACCAAAAAACACCAATTTTTTGTCTCCACCACCAACCCCTTCACTCTTACCACCATTCCTAGTCCGGGCCACCGCCGCGGCCGCCGAACCATTCTCCACATCAGAAACAGCCTTGTCACCTTGAATTTCCACCTCACGATGCTTCAAAGTTGCAAAATTTTCAACAGAACTAGTCTTCTTACTACTATTCTTCCTACACAAAAGAATCAAAGCAAAAACAACCAACAAAAGAACCACCACACACCCAATAACAATCCCAGCAATGGCACCACCAGACAACTTGCTCTTCTTCTTCTTTCCAACCACCTTCCCTCCATTATCTCCAACCACACTTGAAGTCCCATTTGCACCATTCCCAACATTAGCATCCCCAGGACAAAGACTTAGTGGCTTCCCACAAAGGGAATTACCCAAAAACGAGTCCTTTGAAAAAGCTTGCAACTTTTCAGGAACAGAACCATTCAACATGTTGTTAGACACATTGAACTGAGCCAACTCGGTTAGGTCCAACTCAGGCAACGAACCGGTTAACCGGTTGTTCTCCAGAAAGAGTGTCCTCAACCGGGTCAAGTTCCTGAACCCGACCGGAACCGGACCGGAAAAATTATTATAACCCAAATTGAGCCGAACCAAACCGTTCAACCGGAACAAAAACTGAGGAACCTCGCCGGAGAGAAGGTTCTGCTGCAAGTACAGGTTCCGGAGGCCAACGCAGGCGGCGAGGTCGGCGGGGAGGTTGCCGGAGAGGGCGTTGAACCGGAGGCTGAGGGTGCGGAGGTGGACAAGGTTAGAGAAAACACCGCCGGGAAGTTCACCGGAAAGTGCAACTCCGGGAAGGTGAAGCTCAACGACGTGAGTGTTGTTAGAGTTGCATTTGACGCCACCCCAGTTGCATGGGGTGGCGAAGGTGGCGTTCCAGAGAAGGGTTCGGCCACCCACCGCTGAACGGAGTGTTAACAGGGCGGCGCGCTCCGAACCCAGATCTGGTTTTGCCGGAGGAACACAAACAAAGAAGATGGTAGTGAAGAAGAAGAAGAAAGTTGAAACCTTGTGAACCTTCTTCATTACCATTTTCTGCAATGCAATGCTCTGTGTCTTTGGTTTTTTTTTTGTTGGTTCTTTGTTTGTTTGTTTGTTTGTTGTTTCAGCAGAATAGTGTTTTTTTTGTTAACAGATAAAAATGAAATAAAAAAAGCATAACAGTTATGGTTTATGGTTGAGTTTGATGATGAACATTGTTTTGGAGAGAGAGAGAGAGAGAGTCTTAGGAAGAGGAGTGATGAGTGGAAGTGAAGTGAGAGTTAAAGGGCATTGCTTTTCAATTTATATCTTTCACGTATGAGACTTGTCTTTCCACATGACTTATCAGACTTTGTTTGCAAGGGTGCATTCATTTCAACAAAAAAATTATTTTCATTTTATATAAGATAATTTTTTTTTTTACACATTTTTCAATAATTATGTTATTTTTATTTTTCAAGTGGTAGAACCTATAAATTTATCTCAGATAACTATCTCTTTTAATATGAGATTATAAAATTTTTTATTTTAGATTAATATACCTTTTCTTTATTTGTTTATTTTGAAGATAAAATTTTTATTTTATTTTATTATATTATATTTTTGGTCTTTAATAGATAAAGTTTAAGCGGATATATATATATATATATATATATATATATATATATTTCACATATTATAGGAGAAAAATCATTTTTTATGTATGTGATTTTTTTCTTTCTTTCTCCTATCGTTATATGACTCGTATGGGCTTTGCATATTTTTGCGTGTATCAACAAAAGAAATATTAATCTTATAAAAAAATTTGAATTTTTTTTGGACATTTTATTTTATTGATTTTTTCTTTCTGTAGTAACTGTTTTTTTAGTAATATGAAGGTATTCTTCGGGCTGTAAACGAACACTAATTCCCAATTGAGCATTGTCAAACTCTTTCGAAGACAGCTCTTTCAAAAAAAAAATTTTCCATTACTCGAATTCGAAACCTCTAATTAAGAGATCTAGTCACCTTATCACATGTGTCAAATGAGTTTTGTTAGTAACGTTTTTAAGTCGGGAGAGAGAGAGCGAGATATATGCTTACTTGTGTTGGGAAGACACACTGCCAAAAAGAAACCCTAGCTGTATGTATGTCAGTATGTGTACATTAAAGGCAGCGGTCAACTGATTTTATTTTTTTTAATCATTTTTATTATTTAAAAACATAGTAATGCTTTGTTATATTGGAAAATTTTAACTTTTTATTTATGGGATTGATATTTTTATATTATAGAAGATAATTTTATTTTTTACATCCTTATAAAAATATATGAAACGTATATTTTTTTCTCTTTTTTCTTCACATGAGTTTTGCACACTTTTATATATGGGTTTATCTAGTTTTATGTTGCATAAGAAAAGAAATCTTATGTTGTAGATACATAGTGGTGGGATCCACTATCTAAAAAATAAAAAAGAAAGAAAAAAAATGTTACACGGTTATCGAATGATGTGTAGGAAGAAAACTTACCTCATGCGACATGAGAATAGCTTTTTCCTTTATATATATGTAAGAAAAAAATCATCTTTTATAACATTAGAAACACTAATATCTTTATTTATACGTATAAATGTGGGAAAATATTACCCTCCTTTCAAATAAGATAACTTCTCTCACTTCGATTTTCGCACTCCATCTTTTTCTTTTTTTTCTTATAATGATGGGACCCACCCATTTTCTCTCTACAACATAAGATAATTATCTTATGTAGAAGAAGATTAATAAAATCCATAAATATGTAGATTACTAGATTTGCGTACAAAATAAAATTATCTTTCACAGTATGAAAAACATTAATCCTCTTAGTTTATGATTGTTCTTAAATAAACATAATAGTTTGTAAATAAATATGAGTTTTAGAATCAAAATGTTATATATTTTATTACGTTAAGAAAGGACAAGCGCACGCTGATTTATAAAGACTAATGATGTCATACCAACAGACAACAGCTACATTGTCTATTTGACCTGGTATCACATGTTACATGTATAGATTATTAGGATAAGAAATGCTATATAGTGGGTGGGGAATATTAGGTAAATATATCTCAATGAATTGTAACTTTATATGGATAATTATCATTTCTCTAAAACTTTATTTTTGGGTTACTTTATGCATTTAATCAGTACTATTAAAATCGGTTTAATCAGTACTATTAAAATCGGTTTAATCCTGCCGTTCTGATCGATTGAACTAAGTCACTTATTGATATCATATATACAACTCGGTCAAGAATTTATGAACTAGCCATAAACCAAGTTCAGCGGTGCTAATCTGATACTGATTTCTTTCTTGAGCGGTTCTTAAAAATTGCGACAAAATATTTCATCATGATTGAATTCTTAGGATTTGAATCACATAAAGGAAAGGGACACATAATTTCGATTATTATATTATTTCTATTTATATATTTATTACATATTTTTATATTAACATAATTTAATCGGTTCAATCAGTGGTTAATTAATTAAATAAAAAAAATATTTCTGCTGTTAATGCAGATAAATTATCTGCACTTGACTACCAAAAGAAAAAAAATTTATCTACATTTATTTCTAAAACGACATCGTTTTGAGATTGAGAAATTAGAAAATTATAATTATAAAGAATATAATAACTCTGAAATAAATTAAAATTACAAAAACACTATAATTTTCACCCTATTAAACTTACTGCAGATAACTTATATGCAGAAACTGCAACTTCATTAATTAAACTAATAACTCATTCACTTGATAACCAATCCGAGTTTGATAATATTGCATTCATTAATGGATGCGCATTGGAGGCTGATAATAAATTAAAGTTTGAACCATACTAAAATTCGATTTAAAAAAAATAAAAATACTTTTTCTCTTATTTAGTAATAAATGTGATAAAATGGACTGATCTGTCCTATTTCACTTCTTGAATATAGGTCGAAAAATCTAACTCATCTCATTTTATGTGGGTTGACGGATCAATTTGTCTAAAAAAAAATTAAAATTTAAAATAAATTATATTTTATGTAGGGTTTGATGTTTGTCATTTTAAATAACATAAATTATGTCATTTTAGAAGAGAGATAGACACAAGAAATGAAAATCATGGGGAGAAAGTGAGTGATTTTTTTAATTTAAATTTTAAATAAAAAAATATTATTTGTATCTATCTCTCTTTTAAAATGACATAATTTTTCTTTTATTATTAATTTTATAATATTATTTATTTTTATTTCACAATATCTTAGTTTTTTTTTTAATCTCAAATTTAAATGTATGTTAATATTTAGTCAGACATTTTTTAGGAACTTATTCTTACCTCCATATGTGATTAACTTTTGTCCTAAATAAAGTTTTTCTTATTTATTTTTTTAACGGAATACTAAGATAAAAAAAAAATTATATCACAAAAGTTAGTGACAAATAAAATACTATTTAATAGTAAAAAACAAAAATTAACCCGTTGCCAACTGTTTTGACCCACAACCAGACATGGCGGGTTGGTAAATTGAGATGTATAACCCAATGCGCTCCGTTTTAACGGGTTGATAGGTTAACATGTTGAATTCAACCTATATTACCACTTCTATTTAGTAACATGAAAATGATAAATTGAGTTTCTTGCGGTGTTGGCCCTTGTGGTGCTAAGTTTTGTTTTTGTGTTTGGTACCTTCTTGCCAAAACATATGGTGGAAAGCATTAAATACAAGATTAGGTTGTGTTAAAGTTAGGAATTGCTAATTAATTCCAACAGCTGTGCATTCCCCCAATTTGTGATTTTTTAACGTTCATCAATAAATAAATTGAATCAGTCAAACTTAGTATTATTTTTGTTTAGGGACAGTTTATATTTATAATTTTTTTTTTTATAAACTCTTACAAACTATATTATGTTCTCTCGGGAGAACACTAGTTACACTATATTTTCTCGGGAGAATATAGTGTAATTTGTAAAAAAAATTTAAAAAAATTTGTAAACGAATCCTTCCTCTATTTTTTAAAATGAAGAAAAAAGAAAGAAAGAGTTCATGCTTGACCAATTTCATCAATTAATAAGTATATATCTTATTTACCAAAAAATAAATAAAAATAAGTATATATCTCAAATCAGGATTTCCCCTACTTGTCTACCACTTTGCTATTAATTACATAAAATATTAAATTTAAGTTATTACATACGAAAAACAAAATGGAGGAAATATCTCTCTATCTGCTTCGTGGGCTGCAATTTTTATAATTTTGACATATAACATAGATGACTTTTATAAGAGTTATGGTATAGGAAAAGTAATTGTGTAATATTATAGAGATTTGTTTTGCGTGTCATAATTTTCTTTTTTTCTTTTTTCTTCAAAAAATGTGAGCCTCACAAAATATTGTGTGTGTAGGAAAATTTGTTGTGTCATATTAAATGACAAATAGAAACCCCAACAGAGATATCCTGATTTAGACGACACTATTTCAAATATATTTTTTTTATCTTTTTTTTTTTATTAATTGATATGATTAATCGTTCCATAACATGCATGCTATGTATTTTTTTTCACTAAAAATTGTTTTCTCGATATATATACTATTTTCCATAATCATTTTAACTAAAAATCTGTCTAAATATAATATTGTTTCTGTATATATCAATTACTTATACTTAAGGGACTTAAGTCCTATTTCACTTGGATCAATGTGTGAAAGGAACGATAGCAAGAATGGAAATGAAAATATACTAATATTAGGGAACAATTTAAAAATAAAAAAAATTGCGTGGTCACAATATCTATGTTGTTTACACTTTTTTCTGGGAAAAAAGAAAACAATGCATCTTATTAGCATCGCCTAGGAAAATGAGCAATCCGATAAGACAAAGAACACATTAAAAATTCGGTGGATGTTTGCAAAAGTTATAGTTATACCAATATATTGTACCGTTTTGACTCTCGATATCACCAACTTGTAGAGTAAAATTTGTCATCCTTACATAAATTATGTTCCATCGAAAGATGAACTTTGCCAAATAAATGTTAGTTATGACTTATGAGACACACGTAACGTTATAATTCTTTCTTCCCAAAAATTTTGGTATTAGCGAAAATTTCACAATTTTGATATGATAATTCTAAAATTTAATGCTTGATAGTATAATACATGATAGTATAAAATTTGATTGTATAAGATTTGATTAAATTTTATTACTATCTAGTATTTGATATGATATCATCCAATTTTGTTAA